CACTTATTTATCCCTTCCCTTATAATTGGATGATAAACCCTTTAACCATATGAGTTAGTTATACTCAAAAGTTCTTGTGTTCAATTATCTTAATCAATTGGGCTTTGAAGGGTATTCTGTGACCCTGAAGATTAGGCAGACACCAACATGAACCTAGATACCTCAAATACCTAAAAAATCCAAAAAAACAATTATTTGGATTTTGATTATTTGAATTTGTGTTACAAAGAAGAAGATGAAGCAAATCAAATTACTAATGGTGGTAAATGCAATGTATTGGTAAGACTGGTTGATATTATATTATTACTCACTTTGTAATTTTCTTCGTATCATCATTCTTTTAATGTTTTTTTTTTTTTTAATTAACCAAGGTGTCAAAGTCAATTTACGTGTACCTCGACTAATCCTCAAATGAGAGTAGCGTAATAACCCACTGTCATGGTCCCTTATTTAAATTGCGAATGTTCAAATGAGGAATATAACTTGAGACCATGCGCTTATCTACACTATTTTCAACGCGTCGTAACTATTTGAGCTATCTACGGATGGGTTTTAATTATTTTAAATCCTTGTTCGTTAAGATATCTCTGTCTCTTTTCTTATAACATTACACTTTTTTGTCACCCGATAATAAGTTTTAGCACTAAACTATGGTTTAAAATGAAAGAAAAATAGAATTAGTTAAGCACATGTTTCAACAACTTCCAAATTGTGGTAGATACCAACAAAATATCACATTCAGTCAAATACAAAATTTGTTTGAAACTTTTAATTGTTTAAATTATAAAAAGAATTGGTTGATACGTGATTGTCCACTAAGAATCCCTCACCAACCTCCCTCAATTTAATCCAATTCTGTCATTTAGACAGCTCATTCTACTTAGAATAATACAAGGTTTTACAAAGAATTTGTATCTACATTGACTTAATGGAATCAATAATTTCTTTTATATCTACCACTTAATTGAATCTATACTTTGGTTAACACGTGATTCTATTATGTATGATTCATGAGATGATGCAACCTTTCATTCATAAATAATCAGTGAGTGTTGGTGGTGATGTTGATGTTGATGTTGATTTTTGGATGAACTCGTCAATAAATTTGTAATACAACGTGAAAACCATCTCAAATTGATTAAGGAATAGAAAACGTTCAGCTAACTAATCCCCCGAGACCTTGAAACTATCGGTCGGGTAAGAGCTTCAGTAGTCACCCATATTAGGTGTTGTTGGGGACTTGAACTCGAGAGACCGTTTAAATCTTCATCTTGTTTTTTTACTATCAAGGGGACTCGAACTTAAAATACCATATTAGGTCTTCCTTTGCTTTTTTACTATTTAGCCACCCAGCGATGGTTTATTGATATAAGCGTTGTTGGTCCATTTTCTTAACACCATAGGGGGTGTTTAGATCATATAATGTTTTACTATAGGGATATATTATATTAACGGAAATAAATATCACCTTAAAGATTACTAGGAATGTTTAGAAAATGTGTTTAGTTGATTCGAATAAATTGGTAAATAATATGTTTGGTTGAGAGAATAAATGGGTGGGTATATTGCATAGATTACTAAATTGCCCTCTTTTTTAAATATTAATATAATAATATTTTTTATTATCATTTTTTTTATCCCCCTACATTTGAAATTTTGCTAAAACACTCTAGCCACATAAAACTTTAATTTGTAGCAAAATCATTCCCACCCACCCCAAGCCACTGTCGACAGCTAGCCACCACCACCGACAGTTGACAGAATGGCACATGACTGGCCGTATATGGCTGATCGTGCATCGACAAAGTCGAAAATGGCCATGGATCACAAATCCATGGCCGGAAAACGGCCAGATCTATGGCCATTTCATGGCCAAAGATCTAGCCTTTTCACGGCCACATCTTTGGCCATGAAATGGCCATAGAAATGCTAGATCTGACCGTTTTCGACCATGGATTTGTGATCCATGGTTGGAAAAGGCCTTACCGGTGCACGACCAGCCAGATCCCGTCGGTCGTGCACCATTACGGCGACTGACGTCGACAACCAGCGGTGGTCAATCATGACCAACGATGGTCTTGGGTGGTTGAGGGTATTTTGTTAACTTTTAAACTTTTTTTGTGGCTGGGGTGCTTTAGCTAATTTCTCAAATGTAGAGGGGTTGGTAATTGTTATTTGGTAGACATTTGAAGGCAATTGTGTCCGAAATGGTTTTTAATTAAGGGCAAAATGGGTAGAAAAACCAGATTATCCCGGTAATGTTTTAATAACATCTCCTAATAAGGTAATAAGATTACTCTCTACATTACCAACAGTAAATACTATTTGCAATAAAAGATTACCATAATATTTTATTACTTGCAAACCAAATACCGAAATCTTGTAAAATAAACAAAGATTACTCTCATTATCTTATGTATTCCTGATCCAAATGGTCCCATAGGGGCAAATCTAACATATTGACAGAATTTATACTTCAAAAACCCTTCACAATGTTAAGAAAGTGAGTTAATAACATTAACATCAATCTAGGGCAAAGTGCAACAAACCCCAAACGTGAAGTAAGTTTTGGCACTAAACTTTGGTTCAAACCAGAGAAAATAAAGTTAGTTAAGTTCATGAATTCAACTTGTTGGTGGTGATAGATGACATTAGGTATTTTATAATGTTTAAAAAATGACTTTCCAGTCCATAGCGAAATTGAGGTCGGTATTGGCTACAAATCAAATGTCAAAGCTGGCTTAAACTTTTTTATTGTCTAAATTCTTGTGTAAATTATTAAAAACAGTTGGGTGATATGTGATTGTCCACTGACTATTTTCTCACCAACCTCTCTAATTTAATCCCCCAATCCCCAATGAGAACATTCTCTCATATTTAATGTCATTAGACGGCTCATTTGGAAAATATATATAACAACAAAAATCTTTTTTTATCACTGAGTAACTTCAGTTCCAGATGTAATTACTTTAGGGTGGTCACCGAGTGATTTCATAGGGTGCGTTTGGCTTATTATTTTTAACCATATTCTTAATCCTATTCTCCAAATATTGTTTGGCACATTATTCCAGAAATATTATTATATTTTTTTAATTACTTTTAGACTCTTTAAGTTTATTAATTTCACTAAATACATCCAAAAAAACTTTAAAAATTAACAAAAATACCCCCATCAACGCAGACTTGCTAGATTCCGGCAACCACCGTCGGTGGTAGTCGAAATCTATACGACGACCTACACCATGACCAGAAATGGCTGGTAGTTCACTGATCTGGCCGTCAACGATGGCCAAGGTTGACGGCCACATCTTGGCCATCATTGACCGAAAACGACGGCTATTTCCTTGGCTATCGCTATGGACTTCTTTGGCCTTTTTTGGCTGTCGACAGTCACTTTTGGCTGTGAATCTGGCCTTTTCAGGCCAGATTCGTGGTGGATGTAGCCGGAAAATGCCATAGTGAGGTGCTACGACACAGATCCGACCAGTCTGTGTCGTAACGCAACTTTCCAGCCAAATTCCGACGGTGGTGGCCGGAATCTGGCACTGCAGGTGGTGGGGGTATTTTTGTCATTTTATATATTGGGGTGTTTAATTAAATTAGCAAACCTAGGGATTTTTTTTTTATAAATTTTTAAATTTTACTTCGTAATACTCTCCTACTCAATTACCCAATATTATTCCTAAAATCTTATCCAAAATAATAAACCAAACACACCCATAGGTATTTTTAAGTGTATTATTAAAAAAGTCTTAAATTCGAATTATTCCTCAATTGTTAATAGGAGTAACCATTGAAGTTTTAACCCAACAATCTTAGAGTCTTAAGAGATAGTTAAGATGAGCATAAGTTATCCGGACACCTTCTATCATAAAAAAAAGAAAAAAAATGTTTTAAATGTTAAATGACAAAAAGGTAATTTGGTAAATATTTATTAACTTATAACAGTATAAGTTTTAATGGCTCACTAAATGGTAGATGAATTTTTGTTATTACATCAAATCTTAGAGAGATTGATGTCTTTTAACTTGCAAAAGAATATAATAGTTTCCGAAAGCTATTTATACACTTCAAATAAATCCAGAAGATATGTTTTGGATATAAAAACAGTTGCATGAAATATGAAGCAGAAAATATTTGTTCCATCTGAAACGATACATTAATGCTCCTTTGTAAGACAGAAATTATGAAGTGGCCCGTATAGTTATGATTCTCCCCTTTTATTTGACCATTTGAGGTGCTGTGGTACACTTTTTTTAATGCTACTATTAGTTATCCAATTAAGTGATAGCCAACAAGAAATGACACCAGAATTTAATGAATAATCAACCCTAGAGTTAAAACTACCCAAAATCCTATCTTTTGGTAAAAAAAAAAAAAAAATTTAACATAGTCTCCAAAGTTCTGAGCCTTTTATAAGGTAAAATAGTAAAAAGATGATCTAACACGATAACCCGAGTTTGAGTCCTTATAGTTACTAATAAAGATGATCACTAGAGTTTTTATTGTCTAGTAATTTTAGGATCACAGGAGATTAATTAAAGTACACGTAAATTGACTTGTATACAGTAGTCAAAGGAAGAAAAAAAATCCTTACCCTGTAACAGATTACCTTATCCCATTCCCTTGTCAGGATACATTTATTATAGAATAATGTTATAAGGAAAAGTTAAAGTCTTCCTGTTTAAATTATGTTCACCAAACTTGAGAAGGCCATTTCCAAATGGGCATCTTTTTCTTCTTCTTTTAATGGCCTAAACTTATAGTATAGGTTAACACTCGGCAATTGTGATACGTAATTCCTTGCTGTAAAATTTCCCATTGAATGGGCCCTCATTTTAATATGAAATTATACATTGAATAATATACCCATTTGAGGTTAAAAATCATTAAATAAAATACAAGATAAATTTAATAGCAAAAACATAATAATATATTACAGAACACAGTATAAGCATACAAATTTGGTTGATGGATTAAACTCTTTGTTTTCACTTGGCCGTCTCTCATTCTTACAAGACACAACTCAACTGTGTCTGTAGAATCTGAGGAAACGTGTGGCCAACGACATTCTGTTCACCTACTGGTTTTTTCTTTGTTTCTCTCTATATTTATATATAAATATTATTCTACATCTAACTCTTGACCCAGTTTCTCTAAATTTTTACTGAATTTGATCGTCACTGTACTGCACGCACCGTGAAATTTCTGTGGTGGGGTCCTTCGCCCCCCACCTAAACCATTGTCTCTTGACAATGTCATTCAGGTTTCACCAGAACTCTTCACCTTCACCAACCACTTAATTTGCCTAAAGCTATAAACTTTGCAGTCGCATTGTGCAATTGTTTGCAAAGTTTGCAACTTTTATGGCTTTAAAGGCCAATCCCATCTGGGTTTATGCTAAAACCCCACATTTTCATGTGGGTGTGCCGGATTTGGGGTCTAGGCCTCGTGTGTTTGCTTTGGATTTCAGGGGTTTAAACAAATGGGAATATTGTTGTGTTGGTGTTTCAGCTCAAACTCCTCAGAGAGCTATCTCTCCTGTTGAGGATGAGAAGCCTACTCATGGTGTGGAGTCCTCTGGGGCTATTCAGCGCTTGTCTGACATGGAGTTAACTGGTTTTCATAAGGATTTGAATCTTCTTCCTAGTAAGCCAACTACACCATAGTTCTTTGAATTAATGATTATTGTTATTGTTTTTTTGGGTTTTTGAGATTGTGGTTTGGTGAATGTAAAAGTTTGATATTGAATTTTTTTTTATTTTTTTTTTTTTTTCGGTGGCCAGTTTAGTATTGTTTGCACGGTTAATATTACTTTTATTTTTATTGTATTTTAGCTATGTGGAGAGACTGAGATTAATGCAAAACTTTGATAAGCTGTTGAGCAATGTAGATAGATTTTAGGCTTCCTTAATTTGCATTCTTCTAGCTGTAGGAAGACTCAATTTACTTAGTAAGCTTTTATCATGAATGAAATGTCTCCAGAAAAAGTCTGTATGTACAATGAATCCCAGTTGAGGTATCATGTTGTGATTGGTTGTTTAATTTGGAATTTATGGATGTTATATCCGAAAGCGCTCTTAGGTAATGATTCTGCAGCCACTTTCAGCTTGGAAGTGATCGAATTTGCATGAATTTTGTAAGAAGGGATTATTTTGATACATGATTAGTGTGAGGACTGATCTCGTGGTGATAGTAATTGAATCTCATCTTTCATGATGTGGAGTAAACAGAGCTAAATGTTATAAATGGAAGTGAAGATTCGATTTGTAATGGTTAGTTATAATATGTGCATATCTTTTTTGAGGACAAACCTACTATTAAAGTTCATTAATTGTTACTGATCTACTCTCAGTTTTTCTGAATTGTTATTTTATGGCCTTGTTAGAAATGATGTTCCATTAAACACACATGTATTATTTTCAGTGAGCACACTTAATTTCCCTCATCCCTTCTTTTTTCTTTTTTCCGTTGCAATTTCATGACTTGACTGTGTTAACAAATTGCAGAACCCTTGTCTGCAACTGAACTTTCTTCGCCTTCTTGTGATGGCTCAAAAGTGCGGGTTGCCTACCAGGTATATCAGTCTGTCATTCTTTGTTTTGCTAAGTATTATATCTTTCTGTAATTGTATTGGTTGTATTGCATTGCAGGGTATACCTGGTGCATATAGTGAGTCTGCCGCACGGAAAGCATACCCAAAATGTGAGACTGTCCCATGTGAGCAGTTTGAAGCTGCATTCAAGGTTTAATTATTTTCTTACACAATTTACTGTTATTAAATCATAATAGTATAGATGGTCACCTTTGTTCTGTTAATTCCATTTAACAGGCTGTTGAATTGTGGTTAGTGGATAAAGCAGTTCTTCCCATCGAAAATTCAGTTGGTGGTAGCATCCACCGCAATTATGACTTGCTTCTTCGGCATAGGTTGCACATAGTGGGGGAAGTACAGTTGGTAATTAACCATTGTCTTCTCGGGTTGCCTGGTGTAAGAAAGGAGGAGCTTATACGTGTCTTGAGCCATCCACAGGTTGGTCATTCTAATGTTTCACAGTATCTCATTGTCTTGTTAGTTCAAGAGAACATTGGTAGTTAATTGTATGTAGCTCTTTGTGCAAGACGTACTGATTATTTTATAGTAAAAAATATTAGCCTGTGGCAAAAACATCAGAACTAGGTCCAATTTGTCAACATTTTTAGTGATTATATAATGGACAAATAACTTATTGGGCCACTACTTGTATGCTAGACAAAGCATTCATTTTTAGGTGAGATAAAGTGAGGAGAACGGTTCTGAGGAATTAATGTAACCTACTATTTTGATCATTTCTGCCTTTGGGTTATATAGTAGCAATGCATACTAGTAGTAGTAATTGTTGTCAAAAAGGTGTTTTGTGGACTAGTTTAGCTCCTTGATTATTGGATCGTCAGGTTTGTTAAATTTGGAATTTGTTTGGCTGTGCTGCATAAATTATTTTCCAAAAATTTACTATTCAGATCTCAAGGATTTCTAGTCATCTGAATTAAATTACTACCTTCAGGCACTTGCTCAATGTGAGATGACACTAAGCAATTTAGGTATGGTCAGAGTAAGTACTGATGATACTGCTGGTGCTGCTCAGGTAATATATTTAAAGTCTTTATATCTTCTTTGTGGAGGCTGTTTATATTCCTAATAGTAAAGCCTCTGATACAGATTGTATCTTCAAGCGGTGAAAGAGACACTGGAGCAGTTGCAAGTGCTGAAGCTGCCCAAATCTATGGTCTTGACATTCTTTCTGAAAAGATCCAGGTAAGGCATTCCTTCTCTTTTTTATGTGCCTAGGTGTTGCGGATATGAAGAGTAACATTTCAATCTTGTTTCACATTGCCCTGATCAGGATGACGACGATAATATTACCCGTTTTCTGATACTAGCAAGAGAGCCTATAATTGCAGGAACTGACAGGCCCTATAAGGTACTGTTCTTTGTTAGTCATTTATATATTAGGTTACAGTCTTAAGCAAACAATTACTGATTTCCTTTTCCCCAGACAAGCATTGTTTTCACTCTAGAAGAAGGTCCTGGCATGCTGTTCAAAGCCTTGGCAGTGTTCGCCTTGAGGGACATTAATTTGACTAAGGTACTCAAATGTAAAAATGTAGTTCCAGTATTTAACCATTCTATCAAAGGGCTCTGATTATTACAGTTCTTTGGACCATTTTTCAGATAGAGAGCCGCCCACAGAGAAAGCGTCCACTAAGGATTGTTGATGATTCTAATAAAGGGAGTGCAAAGTGAGTGATTTACTTTATTGAATCCAGCATTTTTAACTGTGGAGTTATATATGTTTATAATCCTAAGGATCATTCATATATATATATATACCACCTACATTCAACATATATATATATATATATATATATATATATGTTGAATGTAGGTGGATTTGATGGGTGCAATGTGATAGAATAGTGCTGTAACTTATTAAGTGAAGAAAAAACTGTCCAGTTGCTATTCTAGCATTTAGCACCCACTTTTTGATTTTGTAATTTCGTTAAGACAATATGGTATGTTCGCAAAACATAATTTGCTTTGTTGAGATCCCTTCTGAACTTACTATATATATGTTTCATGCTGGTAAACACTTTGAGGGGATTGCTAGACATCAAATATCTTTTCTTGTTTTTTTGGGTGTTTTGGGGCATTCTAAATGACATTTTATGAGTCTATTAGTGTTTAATTGAGCAAAATTGTGATTGCATGACCCTTTTTTTTCCCTAAAAAGGTGAGTTAATAATTTGTTAATGTTTTTGTATTATTTGGAGTGGCGTACTTTTGATGTTTTTTTTGAAGGAATGTTTTAGTTTCATTAAATCAAGCAAATTGGAATATTCTTATTTCGTAAGACGATCAAAATATACTTCATTCTATTTCACATGCAATATTCTTAAGTTTCCTATAAGATTATCAATTTGATGCATTAGAAATGTTGATAAGTTAAACTTTTATTTCAACCATAACAGTACATCATCAGAGCCACAAAACGTTGACTCTTGAACTAAGCGTGATACAATTGTATTTGGTTCTAGTTTTTTTTTCATTTCTGGGAAACCAGAGGAAAATTACAATTGAAATTTCACCTTTTTTCTGTTCCAATTAATTTCTCAGTAACCAGATGATTTGATTTTTGGAAAATGATGGCATTTCTAAAACTTGGAAATATTATTTCTGCTGTGAGATTTCATGACAAATAAATAATTGGTCTCTAATGGCAGGTATTTTGACTACCTTTTCTACATTGACTTCGAAGCATCTATGGCTGAAGAGCGAGCCCAACTTGCATTGGGACATTTGCAGGTCAGTTTTCTAATACTTCATGACATGTGAAAAGTACTGCAGCCTCTTATGCTTTGACCTCTCATCCTCATTTTTTTTCCCAAATATTTTTTCATTTTGCGTCAGCGATTTATGAATCTATGGATTTTCATTGTTGATTTTTGCGTTCCACAACATTACTTGTGTGATTTATCCTAAATGTGTTCCAAGTCCATGATTACATTGCACTATAGAGCTATTGATCATTTGCATGTCCATATGCACACTCCTTTTTTTCTTTTCAAGTGTGTTTGTGTATTTTTTTTTTGTTTATACGTATTTCACTGCATGTATTTAGAGAGTACGACGGTTGTTTGGACCAATTCTAATAGATGTAATAATACAGCAGTTGAGATTTGAAGCTTTGTAAACTCTTGTGGTCTATTTGTCAATCCTATCGAAACTCTACGTTAGTTTCGAAACTAACGGGATCGCTATAGTCATTTTGCTTCAAACTAATCATAGAAATGATGGCCACATGCAATTTTATGAGCTTTTTGTACAATCAGTAAGTTAGTAGTATCAGCTTTTCTAGTTGGCCATCCAGTATGTGTAAGCAATAGTATATGTCGGAAAAGCTAGGTTTGAGAGAGCCCTACAAGGTTTCATGAATTTTTTTCCTATAGATGTTAATCTTCAAGTGGATAAATGATTAGAGATTGTCATATGCCATGAGTCTTGCAAGCGGCAATGAATATTTTTACTATGGTAAAGTGGTTTTGCGTTCGGTTGTTGACTGTTTTTTCGTTTCAGTTTGATTGGCTCATTGGCGTAAACTTGTGCGTTTTCGTTGTTCTTATATTTTATCTTAGTTTCTTACTTACCTCTATAAAACTGATACATTTTTGTCTTGATAACCAATTTACCCTGTTGAGAAATTTAACTTATCAAGGGTTTTTCTTTTTTCTTTTCTTAAAACAGGAATTTGCTCGATTTATTCGTGTTCTTGGTTGCTATCCAATGGATACAATTTTATAGATGATTCTATGAAAACCGTTCCTGACATCGGTTTTTTCCCATCTTGATTTTGGTGTGTGAAGATAAATAATTTAACGTCCATTGGTGTATACACACTTCTGACCCAGCTGAAGCCAGAGGTAGGAAACAGGGAAGAGGTTTTCTGTAAGATATAGTAAAAAGGTGGAAATTTTTCTTCAAGGGTTCATCGTTTTGTATATTTTTTTACTTCTTAATCAATTCTTTTCTTCCTCCCAATGGAGGTTGTGTTGGATAGTTATATTATATTGGTGAAACAAACCTTGTGATAAGGGGGGTACATTGTGGGGTCTAATTCGTATACTTTACTGCAATTATCAAGAATCTTGTGAATCTTATCACTTTTGGTGGTCCACAGACAACCAAATAAAACGAGTGAAGAAGATGAAGAGATTTGGATCCTGAAAAAGGTGAGGTCAGGTGAAGTAACCATCAAAGGTTTGACAATTTCTGTGGTGCATATAAATGTTGTTGTACTATTGAAGTTATACCTGCTACAGGTGAGTGAATAATCACTGTCCTCACAGCCTGTAATATGAATACTTTTAAAAACTTACCAACTGGAACTTGGTTCTTTTTTTCTTTTGTTTGTTATTAGTAAAATTTTACCAACTTGGATCTCCTTTTGAAAAGAATTCCTGCATATTAGTTTGTGTATGAGACACACTTTGGACTTGGGGGACCTGGGCAGTTCCTTTATAAAACTGCCCAGCCATGAAAGCAGCACAACCCGACACCCATACGTTGTATCAGACCATTATCAAGTCAACCTCCAAGGTCTCACCTCTCTGGATCAACAATACAATAAATAACGTCGATGATGCTCGATAGATTGATACATACAAATAAGTGTCCGACGTTTAAAGCAGCATATCATTATACAAATCACTCTAGCAACCATATTGAAACAGGCATGTTGGTCGCTTTCAACACTAGACCTAACTTATTCATACTAGTAATAATACTACTTGATGGTTTCCTGAAATCCTTCATACCTTACTTCAGTTCCTTCAGAAAATCTTCATTGTCAACCAGGACCTACGTATATAATTAAAACACAAACATGAGATTTTTCAACAAACCCAAAATGGGGGGAAAATACTATATTGATGCATGGAGGTCTAAGTTAATTCTCAAGATACAAACAAGTGCGTCCTAAATTAGTAGCGCCACAGATAACTTACCGTCTTCCAGCCATCTGGGTCCAGGAATGAGGTAATTTTGGTGTTGAGTCCAGGAATTGGTCCTGGTTGTCGGGTTATCTTTCCTCCAAGCTCTTGTGTGACCAGGTTGACAACCTCAGCACTTTTGTATACATCATCAGTACCAATAGCAATCTACAATGGATACCACAATCATTAAAAACAAGGTTCTCAAAATAAAGAAAAAGTGATTAAAGCTTCCACTGGACAAACTAACATTACCTGAGCATATGCATTTCCCTTGGTATACTCAGTCACACCATAATTGTAAGTTAATTCCAGAACAGTTGTCTCATATTCATCTGCATATCCAATCATAGCTAGGGTGTACTGTAATACAAATGCAGCCACAAAAAGAAACAAACTCCATAAGCTTTCTCCATTACCCATAACAATTACAGCTTTTTCAGATAGACAACAGAAAATATTCAAAAGAAGAGTCAATTTACCTTATACTCAGGCTTATCAACCGTCCGTAACAGCTTCATCCCCAAAGCCTGCATAGCCAGAAACCAAGAACAGAAAGAAAATTAAATGAGAGATCCTTTTTCTTCTTTCAACAAAGGAAACAAAATAAAGAAAGATTTGACACCTGCCACTAGGAACTGGATTTGATAAAAGGAAAAAGTCTTGACATGCTTCCATAGAACAAGATAATAATCCATATGTCACTACCTTCTGGACACCAGTTGACACTAGATAGTCATGGAATATTCTAAACAAAAATGTTTTTATAAATTGAACACAGATATATTCATTACACCATCTTTTTTCTAAGAACTTCAGTCTTTGAAGATGAATCTTCAACTTGAGTGGATGGTGATGATCCACAAGCCAAAGCTGGCACATTCTAGCCCAGACCCACAAAACCAGAGAAAATAAATGGTACAACTTGGGTAGCTTAACAACAGATGAAGAAACCTTGATAACTCAATTGTCTACAGATACTTTCAAGTTTATGTGTCACCAGTTTCAAATAAACATTGAAGATGTAAATGCTGATCTAAAATCACACCAGAGGCAATCATGACCTGTATCATCTACAGTCTTACGGATTAACAGGAAAAGAATCACGTTCTTTACGCCATTTGCTAAACTACCTCCTCTAATTCAACTCTCAAAAGTAAATTTTGCTAAGTAATTGCTGCAAGCCTTAACCAGAGGTAAAGCCTCCATAAGGAGAAATTTTTTTCAAAAGTAAAGATATATAAAGAATAGTTTGTAAAACTTTCAGTTTATCTAAAATTTTAGATCATATAATACACACACTCAAAACATGCTGATGAAAGCAGATTTAGACAGAAATAGAAACAGAAGAACCACTGGAGATATTTAAGCAAAAGATAAACCATACATTATATTACCTTTTCATAGAACTTAATGGAGCGATCTAGATCACCAACACGAAGCATTACTTGACAGAACGGTTCAGGAGTTGGACCCCTTTGGATGAGTTCAAAAATATAACCATCAGGATCCTTTATAAAGGCAATGTGAGTCGTTCCACCTTTAACTGGACCAGGCTCTCTAGTGATAGTGCCACCCTTGGCACGAATGTCTTCAACCATTTTGTAAACCTAAAGATCCATATATATAGTTGAATTTCAGTAATAAAACAAAATGTGCTAAAAAGTATCTAAAAAGATGAATGGCACATACATCTTGAGTAGCAATTCCGAAATGCCCAAAACCAGCTCCAATATCATATGATGATACACCATAATCTGCGGATCAATAACAAAGTAAATACTTACTAATGTGTAATTAAATTAAATTAAAAAAAAAAAAAAAAAAAAAAAATCATAATCATGTCTTAGAAGTAATATTTCAATGCACTTGCGGCACTAGAACTCATTACTACTGAGCTATACAAAGAATAATATGAGCACCGTACTGTAAGTTAACTCAACGACAAAGTTAGACTCTTCTGGGCCAAACCCAAGAAAGGCATTGGTGAATTTCTCATCTGGTATGTCTCTTTGCCTCAACAGCTTCATCCCTAAGCATTCAGTATAGAACCTGATAACAAAAGAATTAGAGAAACAAGAGAACATCCTAGCATCCAAAATTATTGACCATACCCAAATATCAATCCTATAAATGTTTTAAAGGCTTACTTGATGGTGCGATCAAGATCACCAACACGATACACAACATGAAGCATGCGTCGCTTATCTTTCTTTGGCCACTCCAACAGCTCAGCGTTAGGGGCAGCAGCCTCAGCCATTTTGAAATGAAATTATTCTAATTCCATTGACAACATTTGTTAGATGTAAACCACGAATTTATAACCACAATATTTTCTGCACTGGAATATCTAGTTAATACAAAAGCACTCATTTCCGATGAATACCAAAGGATGAAACAACTCTAAAACTTAGAATAGATGAATTAGAAACATAGATATAAAACAGCAAACCTAGAATATCCAACAAAGTGACTCGTCTCTATTATGCAAAAAAAAAAAATAATAATAATAATAAACTGTGAAGCACTGTTTTTCAGATTTATTTTATTTTCCACTTTCCAAAACGTGACATCATTTTTTACTTATGCATAAAATTATGAAATTTCTTAATTATTACTTTAAAAAAATAACAAGATTATCAAATTTTTGCTAGAAATTATGCTTTTGAACGCAATTAATATTTTCTTACCGCTAAAACTTGAAACTGCAATCTTTTGCTTCAGAAAAAGTTCTCAGTTTAACAGTAACCAAACACTAATATGTTCTTTTAAAAAAAATTACTATATAAACAAATGCGTTCTGAATTTCGATCCACCAACGTATAAATTCTGAACAGAATCAAATCAAACACGTAAAGATTTTAAACATAATGACAATAGCTTCAATTCACAAGGAAAATAGTCAACCTAAACAGAGTAATACAACGATTCACAGCTAAACATCATTCCTCATAATATCAACTCGGTCAAGTTTCAGCCACCTAAAACTCCGCAAATTAAACGCAAATCTTATCAATTCAAACATCATGACAAAAATTTTCTCTTTGCAAAAAAAAAATATATATATATATGAACAAATAATTTCCGATCCATCAAGATATAAAACTAGAATAAAATCAAATCAAACACGCAAAAAAATTCAAAAATGACGACAATAACTTCAAATTCACAAGGCAGTTAGTCAAGCTAAACAGATTAACACAGTGATACACATCTAGACACACATCATTTCTCATAATATCTACTCGACCGAGCGTCAGTTACCTAAAATTAAACGACAACCGCAAAAAACGCAAGACAAGACTCTGATTAGAGACGTACAGAACACAATCAAACGATCGCATCAAGAACACCAAAGATCAAAAGAGACGCCAGAGAGCTTACCGGAGAGAGCGAGACTTTGAAGTTCAGTGAAGTCTGAAGAGTGTGATGAAATGCTCGAGAACGATCTGTAACAATAGCGTATATTTATATTATCTTTTTCGGAGAGTTTGTTTAGAGTGGTTGTCTATTACTAATGGTTGAATGATTGAAGGAAGATCGACGGTAGAGATTTGTCTATGATTTTGTGAACGGTTCTTGATCGAGGGGATGAAGCCGATAATTTGAGCGGTAGTTGACCTGTTCGTGAGTCAGCCTACAACATACGATAAAATTACATCCACGTTGGCAGTATTATATTTAGCCATGTGTCTTTCATAAGATTTTTAATATTTCTTTTAGGATACGACGTAGTATTGTTCTTCTGTTACACAATTATGGAAATAAATTTAGACAATTCAATGTCCAATATTTGACATGATACAAGGAACCAAATATGCAATACAATGAATCACATCAAATCTTGCCCATAAATCCATTTTAACATAAAAGATATATTGTCTATATTAGTATCTCCCTCAATTTATGCAAATCATATCAACATTGGTTATACATTTACGTTTACAATAATACTAGTTTTACAAACATTTCCCACTAACACCTATCACTAACCTATGTGACAGTTCGCAATTGGTTTGGTCAGACGAGACCATTTGTTAGGTAGACGGGACTCATACGAGTTGACCAATCGCAAGTTGACACATTGCATTTGTGAGAGAAAGTTAGTAAGAAGTGTTTGTATAGTACTCTTACATTTAAGTACATCAACGTATAATTAATGTGACACTAATACATCATCAATCATATCATTTAGAATATATACAACATTATGATCATTTTATCCCTTCAAATTCACACTAAGTTGTTTAAATCGCTGTTTTGAAACCCGGACCAGGAACCGACAGTCGACTAGCATACTTTAAAATTACCTCCATGTTGGCATTATCATATTTAGCCATGTGTTTCACAAGCTTGTAATTAATAAATTATAGATACGATGTAGTATTGATCTTCTAATAATAGTGATTGAGTGAGTGAAAATATCCTATTAACATGCATGATTTTATAGTTGTAAACGTTACAGGGAATATATAAAATAACCGGGATGTCTGGATAAGCCACAAATGAAGTAGATAACCTTAAGATGATTCGAACTCAAGAAGTCAATGAGTAACACAAATTTTTTTGACCGTCAAGCCAACTCGTATAGGACACGTACAAATCTAAGAGGGAGACAGTGAAGGACGAGTGGACAGGAGGAGGAGGAAGCTCTCACTTTTGCGGACAGTTTGATTGCTAGTGCTTGGAGTTAATGATGAAAACATGGCAACTTTGAATCATTTTACTAACCCTTTTTATTCGGAGGTGGTGGACGGCGTGAGGAATTGCTTTCAACTTTATTATAAGCAAAGCATACTATTCATTATATTTCCCTTTTCATGATTCTGTTTTTGTCCACGTTAAAACGACTATTAATCTGAAACAGGGTAAGTACATATTTAATGTTTAAAATCCATTAGATATGACTTGGTGTTATGAAATAAGGTAATATTTTTTTTTTTTTTTTTTTTTGTGAAATATTTTTTTTTTTTTTTTTTGAAATAATAATGTCACAATGTAAAATGATAAACTAAATCAGTATTTATGTTGCGAACATCCCGATTTTCTTAAAATCCATACCTTAATTCTGCTAATAATCATGCATATATGGTAAACTTGGATGTTCAAGATTTTTGTCATTTTAATCAGTTAAAGTTGATTAAATGGGCCGAATCTAACGGAAATACACAATTGAAGCCCAAACTCTTGGGTAACTTCACATGGATCGCAGTCAACAAAAGACCTAAACATAAATCATGGCAATACGAATAGCCTAATAATTAAGAAAAAGTTGGCAGTATAAATTATAAACTACAATCAAGTCTTTTTTAGTTTAGTCTTTTAATTGAGTTCGAGTTCGAACTATAACTTTTAAATTATTTATGACTCCTATTATTTTAAAAAACTATCAACTTAACCATCAAACTCAAAAATAATCACGAATATTTCGAGTTGAGTTCTACTATGATTGAACTTGACTTGAATAACTACTCGAACCAATGTTTTAAAACCCGAATCAGAAGATGACTTGATCAAGTGACCAATTTTCGGTCTACACGGTCCAACCGGTCTGATCGACGGGTTAGACCAGTTATCTTATCAAATATTATATTTTAATATTTATTTCCTATCCTGCCAATATGCCATTTCATCTTTCCCCTTCTTCTTTTCTCCTTCATTTTTTTATCACTCTCTTTCGTTCCGTCCTTTCTTTCTTCTTTACATTATACGTTTTCAAAATGTCACCTCATCTTCTCTTTCTTCTTCTCACCCGTCACCTCATCTTTCCTTTCTTCTTCTTTACTTCCATCTTTTTTTTTCCCTGTCTTTCTCGCCGTCTCTTCTCTTTCTTCTTAACTTCATTCATGTTCTCTTCTCTTTTCTCACCTCCTCTTCTCTTTTATTCTTCTGCATCTTTTGAAGACTTGAAGGCTGAAAGCTGAAGCTTGAAGGAGATCGCGAATGGAGGACTAGACTAGAGCCTGAAGAGGTTGATTGAAGAGGAGGAGATCGCGATGATGAAGAGGACTTGAAGAGTGAAGACTTGAAGGTTGAACCGCTTAAGCTGAAGCTTGAAGGAGATCCGAGATGGCGAATGGAGGAGGACTAGACTAGAGATCGCGAATGGCAAAGTAGCAAACCAAAAAAAAAAAAAAAAAAAAAGCAAACCAAAATGAAAAAGGCAAAAGCAAAAAGCAAAAAGCAAAATTTTAAAAGTGGCAGAGAGCCCGCAAAAGCAAATTGAAATGTATTAAAAAATTTGGGGGGTTTTGATTTTGTGTTTGTGGTTTTAATTTTTTTCATATTTTTAAGCAGCAGACCGGATTGGACCAGATTTTTTTGGGTGTGTTTGGTTTATTATTTTGGATAAGATTTTGGGAATAGTATTGGATAATTGAATATAGGAGTATTACGAGGTAAAATTTAAAAATTTATAAAATAACCTCCTAAGTTTGCTAATTTAATAAAAACCCAACATGTAAAATGATAAAAATACTACCACCACCTACAGTGTCAGATTCTGGCCATCACCATCGAAATCTGGCTGGAAAATCGCATTACGACACAGACCGGTCAGATCTGTGTCATAACGCGTCGTTATGGCCTTTTTCGACCAGATCCACCACGGATCTGATCGGAAAAGGCCAGATCTAAGGCCTGCCGTGGTCGTCGACGGTCAAAAAAGGCCAAAACGATGACCATGCCATCAGCGACGGCCAAAGATATGGTCGTCGTTTTCGGTCAATGATAGCCAAGATTTGGCAGTCGTTGAGGTCTTTGGCCGTCGTTCACGGTCAGATCGGTGAACTTCCGGCCATTTATGGTCGTCAGGTAGGCCGTTATACAGATTCTGGCTACCACCGACGGTGGTTGCCGGAATCTGGCAAGTATGCGTCGTGGGGGTGTTTTTGATAATTTTTAAACTTTTTTTCAGGGTGTATTTGATGAAATTAATAACCTTATGGGGTCTAAAAGTAATAAAAAAATAGGGTAATATTTCTAGAATAATGTGCCAAACATTATTTGGAGAATAGGATTGGGAATAGGGATAAAAATAATAAGCTAAACATGGCCTTTGTTATACTGGTTGGACCATCGGTTTGTTACAGTAAGATGATCCAACCACGGTTTCAAACGGTCTGATGTAAAAATCTGGGTTTTTACTCTTTTTAAATCGAAAATATAAGCGAAACCCGATCAGACCGGTTCAACCATCTGATCCGGTCTGGGTTTTAGAACATTGACTCGAACTACTTGAACTCGAACTCGACTCAACTAATGCTGAGTCGAGTTCGAGCTAACATCGAGCCATGAGCAACTCTGCTCGATTTTTACCCCTACAATTAGGGATGTACCAGTCTTTAATTGAACATTGGAAGACCATTTTGAACTTCCAAATGTACTACATTGAATATAATATAACAAGTCAGGTCAGAGAAATGTGGGACTAAGAACAAAATGCATAGATTGGTTAGCGTAACTAAACAACAATTTAGGATTCCATGAAAAACAAAGGCGACAGTAAGGAATTGAATAAAGATATCTTAACAAATATTTCTCATAAACTTCTCTTACTAATGTTAACATGACAGTTTGTATTTAGTGAAATGAGACTTATTATTGGACATGAGATTATTACGAACTAATCAATTATAAAATGATATGTCATATTTACGAGAGAAAATTAGTAAAAAATGTTTAGGAGTGTAATGAATTGTTTTCAGACAAGTTCAAGGAATTTCCTAACATGTTGACGAAGTTGCAATAATGTTTTGCTATCAATGAATTGACATGAAATATGGCGAGTAAGCACCAAGTTGGTTTGATTTATACTAATAAACTAACAAACACCATTAATTGTATTGGTGGAAGTCTTCGTCAAGCCCCTTAACCCAATATTTATCCGATAATGGCACCTTGTACTATGCATGGTAATTGGTATTTCTCAATCTCCCTTCTTCTGTAAGTTGTTTCTCCCTTCTTCTAAAAGTTGTTTGTTTTATTTAACTCCTGATCTTCCTTCCTCTCTCACAAAACACAAAACAGAAACACTAATTTTGAAAATATGGCTTTGGCTGCTGCTTCTTCTTCTAAAGTTATCTCTGGATCAGGCTTTCCTCTCTCAAGTTCGTCAAGTGAAATCAAAGGTAAAATTATGTTCGTTTCTGTTTTTGTTCTTTTTTGTTGTAGTTGTTTTTTGGAAACAGAAATGGAGAGTTTTGTTTTGTAGTTTGATAGTGTTTGTTTAGTGTTTACCTTTATGCACTTGGGTTTAATCGATTTCTTGTTTCCGGGTAAGTGTATATTAGGAGAATTTAGCAAGTAAAGATAGTAGTTTGGCGTTTCATTTTTTTTTTTTTTTTTCTTCAATGGAGTTTGACTGAAGGATGTGATCTTGTGTGCTGTCAATCCTATTTTTGAAAAGAAATAGAACCGATTATCACCCTGACTGTTTCAGTTAATGGGTAAGATGAACATTACTTTACTAAAACATCATGGTGCAACTGGCAATTGCAAGAATTGCCAGAAGGTTTGTGTTTCCATGTGAGGTATGAGAAAGCATTTTAAAGAAAAGAATTAGTGGCTTTTAGCAATTTCGATTCCAAATATTCTAGTATTCTATATGTAATGGTACTGATGAATGATACAGAATGATATGCCTTTTATGGTTCGTTATTATTATACATGTATAAAGTTCTTTATATTTTTGGCTGAGGACTCTAATTCAGGGGCAGTTATGAGGTCATTGAAGATTTTGAGTTATAATGTTTGGTTCCGAGAAGACCTGGAGATGCATAAGAGGATGAAAGCAATTGGTGATCTAATTCAACTACATTCTCCAGATCTCATTTGTTTTCAGGTTATTGGCATTTTATCTTCCTTATTTGTCAATGAACATAATCTATTGTTTATCTTCTTACAAGTGGTATGAAAATTGGTCTGTAGGAGGTTACTTATGATATATATGAGGTACTTCGCCAATCCAGCTGGTGGAAGGTATATCAATGCTCGGTTTCAATTGAGATGGCGGAGTCAAGGTCATACTTTTGCTTGCAGGTAAGCTTTTGTTCATTATCTTGGTACTGCACCTAAGGTCCTCAATTAGACATATTTAAAAAATGAATCACACGTTTTTGATCAACATTGACAGTGTGACATTTGCTTGCATATCGAAGATATTATAACTACATTGTGGATATTGATATATGTCCATGAACTGTTTTGGCAACAGGCATGCACATTATACTTTTTCTATGATCTAGCTTTAAGTACCTCCGATGAGAGTTCTTATTTGTATTGTATGTTTCTATAATTTGAACGAAAGCTTTGCTGAGTTGGAAAAAATTTGATCTTTTGAGGGACTGAGATCTATTTTTGATACTCAACTGGTTAGTATATGATATGCAGTTAAGCAAATTGCAAGTGAAAGCCTTCAGCTGTAAACCCTTCAGGAATTCAATTATGGGGAGAGAACTTTGCATTGCTGAGGTTAAAGTTCAAGACGAGAAGTCTTTGGTTGTTGCCACTAGCCATCTCGAGAGTCCCTGCCCGCGCCCTCCTACGTGGGATCAGATGTTTAGTAAAGAACGTGTGGAGCAGGCAAGGGAGGCTATCAACCTTCTGGAGAAGAATCAAAATGTGATCTTTTGTGGTGATATGAACTGGGATGACAAGCTGGATGGTCGATTTCCTTTCCCTGAGGGATGGGTTGATGCCTGGACAGAGTTAAGGCCGGGGGAGAATGGGTGGACGTATGATACTAAGTCCAACCAGATGTTGTCTGGTAACTACCCATTGCAGAAGCGGCTAGATCGATTTATTTGCAATTTGCATGATTTTAAGATTAGTAGAATTGACATGATTGGAATGGAGGCAATACCAGGTCTATCATATTGCAAAGAGAAGAAAGTGAAGAAAGAGATAAAGAAGTTGGAGCTTCCTGTTTTGCCTAGTGATCATTATGGCTTGCTTTTAACAATCACTTGTCAGTAATGTTGGTTATGATAATGGTTGAATGGAAGACTGATGAAGTAGTGGTCATTTTCTGGGCAGTGTTTGTATGCATATATGATATGCAATTTCGTAAATGATGTGCAACATGTTATGTTTCATATTTTGGTGAAGTTTTGTGGATCATGAAGGCAATGTTTAGATATGAAATGCTAAGAGTACTTGTTATCATGAAGATCAATTTTATGGATTTTCCAGAAGCCTTGTTCTATCATCACTCCATCAATAGTTTTCATAATACATAAATAATCAATTTCTTATTATTTTATGAAAGTAAAAATAAATTAAATTAAAAATTTCGGATTTATCAGATTATAGCCTGGAATTATTTATATATGAAAGAAACATATAGTCAGTACCAAATTCGCTAAATGCAATCTTACTTCTTGCATCTGGTTATAAAACATTCTTTAATAGACCTTTTTTATCTAAGTCCATTATGTTGAAGAAATTTGAATTTGAATTTTGCATTTCCAAAAAATATTTTTGAGTAGTAAAAGCATCTTCAACACTATGTTGTAGTCTTTTAAATTTTTCGGTATAGTTTTTATAATCTTTCTATAAGAAATGCAAATTCTTGGGACCACCTGTTTCTACTACGAAGGAATTGAAATTTTTTTCAGGCCTACTCCCAACTTTATCTTTCACTTCGAGTTTTCTTTTGACGTACAATTTTATTAGTCCATTGGTCTTGAAAAATCTAGTTTTGTTAGGACTACTGAGTTTATGTTTATAATCAAGGGCAACTGAACATATTTGCCAAATTCCATCATAACATAAAGTTGCACCAATCTGAGCCTTACAATCAATTTTGGTCACTGGATGCATTTTAAGGTCATTTCTGGAGATACATGTCGACTTCCCACTACAAGCACAAGACAGTCGCGTATTTCAACTTTCCATCGTCTCTTTTATTTGAAGATCTTATAATAGCTTCAAAACTCATTTTATTGCCATAGCTTCTGTAGTATTCGACAAGTCGATCAAATGAATCAAAAATTCATTCCAGGCTTAAGCTCTCATTCCTCTTATGCATTTCTTGTATCTTCTATTTCTGCAGAAGTCTTGTGTGGTTATTTTGAAACCCATTTTTTCTCTTCGCATTATCCCCATGATGAAATTAAGACTTATGAAACCTACACAAATTACATTGTCATTGTTCAATTACAAATAACAAGTTGAAATCTTATGCCAACAGAAATCATAGACTAAGAAATGAAAAAGGTAAAAGCACTCACCCCCGTGACTGCTCTCTTTTTGGATTTCTTACATAAATTTTTCCTGAACGATTTTTCCAATTGGTATTTGAAGCATTACCCTGACCATTTCTAATAGAATTCCCTTGCAACAATTAGAATGGACATAAGTTAATTAACAGTCACTGCACCTCAACTGACAATGTGTGCACAAAAACGATTCCAAAAATCTGCACCTCAATTGACAACGGCGAAGAGCCACAGCAGAGGTAATGGCAAAATTTTGGAGAATCTACGCGGTCACTCTGTTCACTTATTTCTTTTGGTTCCTCCGTTGGATTTTAGAAGCTTTCAAACGATAGGGTCGGACGCTCTCAATCTCACCCCTCTCATCGACCCCTTCGTTAACCAAAATTGCTGCCAATTGTTCTAAATTTGCATCCTTGATTTGAATATGAGCCTCAACACAACTTATGATCTGACTATTGCTCAGCTTCGCATTAGTTTTTCCAATTATGAGGATCTTTTTTGCATATTGTCACTTTATTTGAGCCTGACCCATCTCTAATTTGGGCTACACATTGCCAAATGATGGCATTTAAGGTCTCAAAAATTGGGATTTTGCCTGAAATTTTGGACTGTAAATGAGATACTTGGATGGGTGTTAAATGGAAGGAAAATGAATCCATTTTGCAGTTATTGGGAGTCACCCAGTGGAAGGAAAATGGATTCGGCCGCAGCTTAGGCCCAATGACATTCCTCCACATTTGAACCAAGTAATCTGCATGCCAAGACAAAAATAACATGTAGAATCTATTATTTATTAACTTAAATTATTGATACAAATTAGATCTATAATAATTCAATGGTTTAATAATTAATGAGGTGGCAATAAAAATAACAAAACCACTTCAAACTTAAAATTCTTCGAGAGCCATGGAGTGGAGCTGACAAGAGAACAGAATGATGGAGAAGAAAACTGAGGCTCGTTTGGTTCACATTTTTACGTTTTTAGGAAAAGTTTTTGAAAAAAGTTGAATTGGGTGGATATTACGATGTAATATTTATAAATTAATAAAATACCCCATATGTTTATTTTTTTTATAAAACACCCCTATAATAAAACATTAAAAGTTAACAAAAACACCGCCAACTCACCTATCAAATACAGACAGCCGACCACCACCGCTAGAGGATGGCCGGAGTCACCGTATCAGCGCATGACCGGCTGGATCTTACCGGTCGTGCACTGATATGGCCTTTGTCGGCCAGATTCATGGTGGATTTGGCCAATAAAGGCCAGATCTGGCCGCATTTGCTCGTCAACGACGGCCAAAGATATGGCCGTCGTTGATGGTCAACGAAGACCATATGTTGGCCATCGTTGACGTCTGGTTAGGCCAAAGATCTTGCCGTCAATGGCCAGATCTTTAGCTTTATATCTGGCATTTTCCGACCAGATCCACGGTGGATCTGGCCGGAAAAGGCTAGATCGGCGCACTACCGGCAAGATCCAGCCGGTAGTGTGCCATCCTACTAAATTCCGGCCAACTTCTGACAGTGGTGGCCGGAATCTGGTATAATGTGGGTTTAAGGGTGTTTTTGCAATTTTTAAAAAAAATATTTAGGGGTATTTAATTAAATTAACAAATTTAAGGGGTTTAAAAAAAGTTGAATAATATTGGATAATATTGTGAGTTTTTGGATATTTTATTGTTTAACTTAGCCTGAAAATTTTGAATTTTGAAATAATAAAGTAAATAAAGAAACGAAGAAGAAGAAATAGAAAATTAGAATAAAATAATTAATTTTTCATTGATGACATGGCAACTAATGTGGAATTGTCACATCAACTGCCACGTCACTTTGTACAATCCTCTTTGTATTTGTATTTGTAAGACTAGTATTATTGTTCTATCAGGCTCCGTTTAGTTCATTATTTGGTAGCTTTTAGAATAATCTTTTGAAAAAAGTTAAATTAGGTGGATATTACGATGTAGAATTTTTAAAATTAACATAAATACCCCCTATGTTTATTTATTTACTAAACACCTCTATATTAAAATATTCAAAATTAACAGAAACACACGCAATCCATTTATAAATACAGATAGTCAGTCACCACCACCAAAGGGTGGTCGGAGTTGCCGTAACGGCGTATGACCGGCTCATCTTGCCGGTCGTGCGCCGATATGACCTTTTCCGGCTAGATTTGCTTGATAGCCAGATCTGGCCGCATTTGATCGTCAACGACGGCCAAAGATATGGTCGTCATTGACGATTGTCTACGGCCAAAGATCTGGTTGTTGACGGCCAGATCTTTGGCTATAGATTTGGCCTTTTCTAGCCAGATCCAACGTGGATCTGGCCGGAAAAGGCTAGATCGACGCACTACCGGCCAGATTCAGTTGGTAGTGCGTCATTACACCAGTTCCGGCCAGCTTCCAGTAGTGGTCCCCGAAATCTGATAAATTTGGGTTGCTGGGGTGTTTTTGTCAATTTAAAAAAAAAATTAGGGGTTGTTTGGTTAAATTAACAAATTTAGGGGGTTTAAAGGAAATTGAATAATTTAGAATTATATTTTGAAAATAGGTGAACCAAAGTTAACTTTTTTGGGAAAACTAGTATTCCAATATGTGAACCAAACGAAGCTTCAATCTTTCAAAAAACTTTTTTCTTCTTAACCTTGATAAGATCTAAATAGTTTTTTTTTTCCCTAGCAAGACCTTACTCAAACCTAGATTGCAAGCCAATAAAAGCTAACACCTCCACTACAAGGGGTGTTGTAGCAAAAAAAAAAAAAAAATTTGATGCTTGCCCAATTAACAACATACCCTTGTAGATGTTTTTTATTCGCTTAGACCTAAACCCAACTCTTTTGAGTCCACTTTTGTCGGGGTCAACTACGGATATAAAAAAAAACCTCCCAAATTGTCATCTTTAATTGAACATTGGAAGACCATTTTGAGCTCTCAAATGTTGTACATTGAATATAATATAACAAGTTGAACATGGTAAGATTATTTAATAAATGTGAAAGTACTATTAACGAATATATTTACCAAAAAAGAGAGCAAAAATATAATGAAATAGAAAAAGTGGGCGGCTATGGAGAAACATAGGGAAACCATAAAATAATAATGATAATGACCTTGAAAAGGGGTTACTTTTGGTCATAACTGGCAACACACCTTGCTTGAATATGGACACAATTGGTTATTTGGTTCATATAATGGTTGAACCGTGGTCCCTTGTCCACTGACCTGCCTTTTAAAGAACGTTTAAAACTTTAAATTATTCGCTTAATACATCCCTTTTGAGCTCGAAAGGTCATAATCAAATTGTTAATTATATTGGATTAATTGTAACCACACCCACCTTCCCACCTTCCTGCAATGATTCCCTCCCACTTTTATAGACTAAAGATTCTATCTGTCACTTGTAATTTTATTGGTCGCTTTTTCTTAATCTTTTTTTTTTTCAAATCAAGGTGTTTGGGTAGTTTACATATGGTCCGTTAATTCTCAAGAGAGACTAGCATATAGGAATAGGTGCGAGGCAGGACGGGGAGGGTCGAGACCTTAAGCCCCGAACTTAAACTCGTCTCCTACACCCACCCTCGCACCCAACTTGCCCCCGGGTCAGGTTGGGCTTGATGGGGATGCCCGCAGCCANGCAATTAGCATTCTTTTCAAAAATTATGAAGCGCATGAACATGAATTTCTTCTGTCAACATTTTTTTCCCTAGACATGGCATAATTTTTGTTAGCTGACATTCAAAGAACGATGAAAATTCTTCTCAAAATCATTTGTTTTCTTTTTGCCATGGGAACAACTCGTATGCTCCAGCTCTACCTCTGCTCTTCTAGGTACATTGATTTGACAGAGAGGATGGGACCTGGATGAATATCAGTATATATTGAGTCAATCCCAGCTCGAGGATATTATTTTCTTTGTATAAAAAAATAGTTGCATCAGAGTCAAGATTCCATTAATGGCTTCTAATTTTAGCGGGTGTTTCCAAAACAAACAGAATCTTGACCACAGTTGACAATTAACGCAGGGTGGTTAAAATCTTTTTCATTATAATTCCCCAAGCAAAGTTTCAAAGGCCGCCATTGTACTTAGCTTCACAAATTCATCAACCTGTTTCTAAACAAACTCTTTTAACAATTTCATACCTCTTCATTTCCTTCAAAGACATCATCTTTCGCAACAATGTCTTCATGGAAATGCAACTCCCCCAACTCTCCATCTTCACCTTTATTGATTCCATCTTTATCTTCTTCTTCTTCTTTAAACCCCTGCGACAACACAAGCAGTCAACTCTGTAACACAAGGGCTCCCGGTTCAAGTTTCGATGACTCTAATGTTATTGAAGTTGATGCTAACGTGGATTCCTCTGTTTGGTCTGCTTTCTTGCCTTCAATGCTGAAGCCTAGTAACGAGACGAAGATTAGGGACGAAGATCAAGATCAAGATTGTGGTCCTTTTGATGGGGATTCGCTTGTTAATACATTCAATAAAGCCGTGATTTTAAAGGGTGAGTTCTGGTTTGTGGGTGTTAAATTTTCATTGCTTTTATTAGTGTATTCTTGTTCTTGTATTGGGTATTTTATGTTTTTGTTGTTTTATGTAGATACAATTTGAATATTCCATTTTTCTCAAAAGAAACAGAATTGATTATCACTATGACTATTTCAATTAATAAACAAGTTGAATCTTGCTATACTGAAACATCATGCTGCAATTGGTTATTGCAAGAATTGTCATAGGCTATGTGTTCCAAGTGAACTGTGAGAAAGCGCTTTGGATATATGAATTAGTAGGTTTTTTTTTTTTTTTGGTAACCGGGGTGTTCGAGCCTGTTTACGTGCACGTCAACTAATCCGTAGGATATATTGAATACCCTATAAACCCAATGAACCGGGTAAATCACAATTATGCATTGAGGTAGGTGATCCTAAAATTTAAACCCAGAAAATCAACGAAGAGAGCATACCTCCTTGACCACCAGACCAACCCCTTCGGGTTGAATTGGTAGTTTTTAGCAATTTTGGTTCCAAATGTGCTAGTTTTCTTCTATAGGTCATGGTACTGATGTACAACAAAAAATGTTATGGTGGACTGAAGCTTTATGGGTTGTTATCAGTTACCATACATGTAACAAGTACTTCACATTTGTGGCAGAGGACACTAATTCAGGGGTTCACACAGGGAACACTAATTCAGGAGCAGTTATGAGGTCATTGAAGATTTTGAACTATAATGTTGGGTTCCGAGAAGACTTGATGATGCGAAAGAAGATGAAAGCAGTCGGTGACCTAATTCAACAGCATTCTCCAGACCTTATTTGTTTTCAGGTATTTGGAATTAGATCTTCCTATTATTTTTAGATGAAAACAATCTATTGTACATCATCTTACAAGTGGACACTTGCTCCATAGGAGGTTACTGCTAAAATATACGACATACTTCACCAATCCAGCTGGTGGATGGTATATCAGTGCGCACTGTCCGGAGAAGAGATAGATTCTGGGAAATTCTTTTGCATGCAGGTAAAGTTTTGTTCATCCTCTAGGTGGGATGAATGATGTTTGCTTAATCATGTTTCTATAATTCGCATGAAGGTTTTACTGATTTGGAAGTAATTTGATCTTTTGAGGGGTGAGATCTTTTTCTCTTTTTTGATACTCAAAACTGGCTATTAAATGACATGCAGTTAACCAAATTGCAAGTGAAATCGTTCAATTGCATACCCTTCAAAAATTCAACAATGAGGAGAAAACTTTGTGTTGCTGAGTTTAAAGATAAGGAGGACAAGCTTTTGGTTGTCGCCTCTAGCCATCTCGAGATACCATGCCTGCGTCGTCCTACATCAAATCAAATGCTTAGCAGGGTATGTGTGGAGCAGGCAAAGGAGGCTATGAACCATCTGGAGAGGAATGAAAATGTGATCTTTTGTGGTGATTTGAACTGGGATGACAAGCTGGATGGTCAGTTTCCTTTACCTGCGGGATGGGTTGATGCCTGGACAGAATCAAGGCCAGGGGAAAATGGGTGGATGTATGAGTTTTCTGGTAATGGCACACTGCAGAAGCGGCAAGACCGGTTTATTTGCCATTTGCGTGATTATAAGATTAGTAGAATTGACATGATTGGGATATTAGAGGCAATACCCCTTTTGCTTTTAACAATCAGTAGCCAGTGATGTTGGTTATGATGAAGTGAATGGTTTAACGGAACTAATGATACTTATAGGTGAAAAACGAAATATATAACAGAGTTTTGCAGCATATTATACTTCAATGAAATGATTAAACAGGTTTTGCAGCATGTTATGTTTTATATATTTTGATGAGCTTTGTGGATGACAGCAATGTTTAGATATTACTGCTAGCTCCTGACGTGATAAAGATTATATAGGAACTTTATGGATTTTTCAGAATCCTTCTTAGTTTCCAGAATTCTTTTGAAAAATAATGAAGTGTATAGACATGAATTTCTGTTTACATGTTCTGAAGACGTGGCATAATTTTTGTTAGCAGGCATTCGGAGAACGGATGATGAAATTCTTCTCAAAATCGTTGTGTTTCTTTAGCCAGGGGAGCTCAACTCTCATGCTCTACCTTTGTTCTTCTAGCCACTTTGATTTGACTGAGGATGCAGGAGCTTCCAGTCTTATGTAGTCATAGAGTACTCCACAAAGTGCATCTCCACCCCTAGCCTGTGTGAGAAACATTGAGTTATCTCCCTTGATCAGCAATACTGAGGAAACATCAAAGCTGAAGAGTTGGTACAGTCCATGAATTCCATGTCTACAAACTGTGTTATCCATCCCTAGATTCATCTCTTCAAATGCCAGGTGACCGTCATCTATGTAGTTAACATACACCTGCAAAATTTTAAAGGTTACTGTACCCCTATTTTGTGACTACTGGTATCTACAAGACATCAAAGACTTTGAATCTTTGTCATTTTTACCTTGAGATCAGAACGGGTTGCTGATGCAATGGCCAATCTCACTTTGTAAATTCCACTGATTACTGAAGCGAGATTAAACTTGATTGTCCATGTTGTTGGGAGATACTTGTTATTTGGCCCTCTTCTGGAAAAGTTCAAAATCACTGTCAGGTCAGGGTGGACATTTTTCTTTGAACAAGAAAATTTAAAAGAATGAAATCAGACCTGTCTACGTGAGCGAAGAACCAGTCTTTTTTTGAATCATTGACACCTATAGTGAAAACTTGATCGGATTCAGGATGAATATCAGCATATCTGTCCCACAAGCCATATTGTCTGTACCTGTTAGGGTAGAAGAGCTCAAACAAGTTAAGATCAATCAGTATAAACCTTCACCTTGATTTTAACATCATTCAGAAAATGAAGCATAAGCTGATTCAGTACAAAGAGTGAGGTGAAGTCGCTTACTTCTCGGGGCTGTTAACGAATAGCCTGTTGACATACATTGGATTCACATCAGGAACAAAGAAACCAGTGGCAGTACGATCAGGGAAGCCGATCTCCCAAAGAGTTGGACCATCTCTGAGGGGAACATAGGTTAAGTTTCCAAGTTCTGGTTGTGACCCTGAGCAATATTTTTACCAAGAGTATTCTGAGAGTATTACTTCATTTGATACAATCAGCTAAAGACAATAGCTCATATGAAATCATAACACATCCTTTTTTTTTATTCCTAAAGAATTTAAATACCAGTACCTGTAGAGATGGTGATTAGTGCTTTGTCAAGATAATCCCCAATGAAACCTGGAACCCAACCATGGAGTCCATAGACTCCAGGGACAACATTCTTGATGGTGAAATCTCCATTAGAGTCTGTTTGCACCCAGAACTGATAATCCTACATGTAAATGGATCCACAATTGCTCAAGTTTCCAGTCTACATGATGGCAAATTAATCGATTCGAGTTAGTCCTTACCTTGCTTTCCGTTTGCCATGCTCCTTCAGTTCTTGCAGATGATAGTCCAATGTATGCATTTTTAGCCGGAATCAAAGTAGTGGAAATAAATCTAGTTTCGAATAATATAATAAACTGGATTAGATACCAGAAATTCATTAAAGCGTTCCAGAACCCACATTGAGCAGTCAGAAAAAGCTTTACTGGAGAGTGAGTCATTTACCTGTCCTGGACAAACAATCTCCCGGTAGCTGAACCGCGCTCTTTTACAGTTAGATAATAGGGCGATGATACAAAATCATACGGCCAAGCTGCCTCTTCAAGCAACCTCTAGGATGAACAAAGCATGAAAAGGAAAAAGAAATTTGCATCATGGGCATGTTTGGGTTCTAGTAAAAATAAATCAAGTGTTATGAGAGAAATCAAAAGTGTACCTGCTTTTTTGCATCAACCCATAAGTTGTGTGCATTTGACGCATCAGGTGTTGAATTGAGGTACACGAAAAAGGGGCCAAACACCTTTCTCCATGTCTCTCCTTCCTTAAAATGAGCTAAGATGTCGTCTCCAATATAATGTGTTCCATGAAACATCTGTTGCAGAAAAAAACTCCATGCATTTTCTAATTAGATTTTCATTAGTGGTTTCAAACGGTTTTTTCTTGGCTATGGAAAACAATATTTACAGAGGCTTTAACTTGAATGTTCTAAGATGAGTAGTAAATGGCTCATCTAATTTCCGATGAGAATTTAGTTATCATATTATAGGAATCCACTCCCATATTAATAAGAATTGGGTTGGGCACCGGGTCTTTGATAAGAATTGGGTTACACAGTGATCCTTTTGTGGGTTTGTGTTGAACTCTCATTGAAAAGCTTCACTCTAGGTCAGGGTTTGACTTGATACCATTTGCTTGGGAAGCTTCACTTTGGGCTGAGTAGTGGGCTTTTGATAAGAAAAGGGCACGTTGGCCCACTCTGGACGGCGTCACTCTAAGTCGGGGTTTGCTTTTATATCATTGGATAGGAATTCACTCTTAAATTGATAGGTATGAGGCTTGAGCAGCGGGCAATAGTTCTTTTGTGGATTTTGGTAGAATTCTCCTTGAAAACCAGCTTGCCAAGGTAGGGTGTTCAAGCCCTTATAAATCACATGCCCGCCTTTTTTTCCTCTAAACGTGGGATCCTAACACATACTTCAAATATTATTGTTAATTCTAAGATGGATAGTATATGGCTTGTCCAATTTCTCATTAAATTAAATTATAGATTATATCAATTATATTATATAATGATTTTTCATTGTTTTTATAATTTATTATTCATCAAACATAATGTTAAAGTTAGAATTTGATCTAAAAACAAATTGCCTTTATCAGCCTTGACATTTCTGAAAAATCATCAAAGTTATAGTTTAATTGGACTGTAACTTACTGCTAAACATGCTGGACCAGTATGAACAGTGAGATTTTGCTTAGTAGGGCCACCATTTCGAAATTCATGACTGGGAAAGATAACCCAGAACCCGATTATGGGGCTGCGAGAGCTTATCCATCCATGAACTCCTCCATCTTTATTGTCCATTGAGTACTGGTACTTATCATCAACCTGCAATAATTCAATTCAATCACCCATAGATGAGATAAAGAGTTCACTTAAAGGATTAAAAAAAGACACATAAGGTTTTGCATTAATACCCACCTCGCCTTTGAGATCAGGATTGATGGGATTTACTAACAAAACTGATTCAGGAACAATCAGCTGTTTGCCTCTACCAGGAAGTAAGTCCTCCGGCATTGGCATTACTCTTTGTTTTTCATCTGTGATTGCCATGTAGTGGAACCTGCTCCAATGTTTTGAAACTCAAAATTTAAGTACCTGTTTTTGTAAACAATAAGCTGAATTTTCATTAGAGTGGTAAAATCTAACCGGTCTCGCCGCAACTTAAACACCATCCTTGTTTGAGCAAGATCAAAGGCAGGGCATCCCGGAGGACGCTCATATATCGAATAACAGTGGAACCCTGAAACTCCACTCCTCAATACATACCTATATAAAGAGCAAAAACACTGATAAAATTTACATACTGACATGTAAGTCCAGTCTCAAAGAAAAATATAATATGAACATGTGACCTTATGTCAACAGTGAGTGGCAATTTGTTGCCTCCTGGAGATGATGGATTGTAAGAACTCTTGAATGAAACTTCTAAACTATCATTACTCATATGAATGAGACTATATTCAGCTCCACTCAGCCTGTGTTATGCAAGAGAATTAGCCTTTCAAGTTATAGCAAACTCATCAAAGTAAAGTAATCAGAGGCAATATACAATTTATATCTGTCCTGGCCGCCGGGCAAACTCCAGTTGATATCCCAATATCTGCAAGTTATGTACAAACAGCAGGGTAAATGCCAAATTGGACTAAAATATTCAAATGGGATTGAAGTTTAGATACTAATGTGGCATATTGAAACTTACCCTCTACTAGATTCACTCAATTCGCGATCTAAAAGATTGTCCATTCCACCATACTTGATATTGGTGACATACCCTTGAGGTTTCGCCACCGTGAGCCGAACCAAACCATTGTCCAGAATGACCTGCAGGAAGAACATCAAATGAGATGACATGAAATAGAGAAAGAGAAAGTTTCTGCAGCCAAAGACTCACAGAGGATCCTTCATTGATCAACTTCACCGGCTTCTTAGCCATTACAGGAACAGGGTTTTCTGGCTTCTTTTAATTTCTTTCTTAATATATAATCCATGGTCGATTAATACTAAGAGAATCAACTGATTGTTATGAAATATGCTGTTTCTTGTCTGGTGATTCACAGTACTTTATACAAATTCCAGAGGCTTTTTCTTGTTAATGTCCAGCCAATGGAAATTAAATATTCATGTATATTGATTCAACAGAGTCATTGCACTATAGTGGAACAAAAAACCACCATAAAATAGGATGTACATTAAGATTAATTACATTGTTTAATTAGAACATTAATATTATAAATTAGAGTTAACGACTTTTTTTCACCCAGATAATGGTTTAATGACCATTTTTCACCCACAGACTTTTAAAATACCATTTTCCCACCCAAAAATTACATTTCCCGATTTGGCAACGAACGGAGAGCAAACTTGATCTATTCTGTTGAAGAGGAGAAACTGATGAGTCTTTTGGTGGTTGTGCTTGGTCATAATTTAACTTGGGAGGAGGGGCTACATAAACCCTAATCGCTCAATTACTGACGATTGATAGAGTTAACGAGAGTAAGGTTTGAGGGGTTTTGGTGAGTGATGATCAGAGAAGAGAATGGTGGTGATTTGAGATCGC